CTCCTCAGTGTTTTTTTTTTGGATATATTTGGTGTCATACCCTGTTGAAGAAACCTGAGGTTGGGTTAGTTTGAGTTAGTAGTGGTTTATATGGTTGCTTTCTGGGGTCAGCCTTTCTTGGTTGGGATTTCTCCTCCGTGGGTGTGGTACCCTTCTTATGTCTTGCAGTGCCCTCTTGTCTCTGAGGTTATCTTGGAGGATGAGAGGGTCCCGCCTGCTGACTATCTTGGATGTAATGCTCCATTCGGTCAGCGATTGGCTTAGTGGTGTCATCCCGGTTTTCTTAGTATTAAGTTTTTTAAAATTTATATCCATGTTGTTGTCACGAATAGCTAGGAAAATAAAGGTTAACGACGTCGGCAGGGCCGTAGCTAGAGTCAAATTTGTGGTAGGGCATGACAAATTTGACATAGGGCATACACTACTTGCCCCCCACCTTAATTTTTTTATGGGTAAACAAAATGGGGGTAATGAGGGTAAGGCAAATTTTTCAATAAATAAAATCTCTGGCAAGTAAACAAAATGGCGCAGATTCTCGCGCCGCGAGCAGAGATATGTGAGGGAAATAGAATGCGCTTAGACGACTGCGCATCCGATTTTATGGTAACGCATAGGGTGCCGCCATTTTTATCACTTTTCACTTATGCCGTTTCCGATTAGTAGATCTAGTGTAGTTTTTTTATTTCTGTCTTTTTCGTCTACAGGTTGATGAAAAAGGATGGAAATACACTCAGTGCGCATTAAATCCACTAATCGGAAATGCCATTAGTTTTTACGTTGACAACTTCAATCTGACAGATTTTTCACAACATAACCTTACTTTTGGTCGGTTACAGATTATTGTTTTCGGCAATTTTTCCTGCTTTTTCTGAGATATTTTTATCAGAGTGGTGTTTAAAAAGATTTCTTTTTGTTATTTTTGCTTATTTTTGGAGCTATGAGTTGTTCATGACCTATTTTTCCAGCACCTAATTTGACAAATGACAAAAATGGCGGTCCTTCAAATTCGGCCGTTAGAATAGAATAAGGGTCCGTCCTGCGCAGTTGCGCAGGACGGACCCTTATTCTATTCTAACCAACAAATCTCCCATATCTCTGGCCGCGAGCCGCCTTTGACCATTCGCACCAAGGATAATACACAGTAAGAAGTACTACTACAGGATAGCTCATCCTAATCAAATCTCAAGCCCCCCCGCCACGCCACACCACCAGTGATGACTATGGCGTAGGCAGAGTGTGGTTTCCCGCCTTAACGTAGGGTGTTTGCACCACAGGTTATGATTCCGCGGGCTTTTGCTTTACAAACGAGGCCGATAAGCAATCTTGTGTAGTACCTAGTGTTTATTATCCTTGCGTTTGCATTCTTTCGAAACGAAAAACTTCCTCTGTGTAAATGTCAAACGTGAAACATTGTTGCATACATTTAGGCTCGGAAACACTTACAGTGACCTTTTCTTACCATAGTGGCGACAATTTCCGTCTTCTTTTTGATTGGTTCTTTAAAATCCTACATATTCATATGGAAAAGGCCGCCATTTTGTGCTCAACTACTTGCTACTTTTAAATATGAGTATATAGGATTTGAATGGACATCCATCATAAAAAATTGAAAACAACGTATCCGATTACTATAATTAGGCACATCAAATACGTTGTTTTCAATTTTTTATGATGGATGTCCATTTAAATCCTATACAGGGTGTATATTCATATTCAAAAGTAGCAAGAGGTTGGGCACAAAATGGCGGCGGGACCTCTATTGTCGCCACTTTATGTAAAGGTTTATTTAGATACTGTAGAAACACTTATCCTCGCACTTACTCGATTTTCGGCCTATTCATCATCCACTCCTAAATTTCCTAGAGAAACCTTAACGCATGTTGTGTTTTAAAGGTAGGGCATGATCATTTGAAAGATAGGGCATTGCCCTCCCCTGGCTACGGCCCTGCGTCGGAGCCCCGTGGTAATGCTGGTTACTTGAAAAGGTCGCCTGGGCTGGGACTGTAACGAATAGAGATATTTTTTCTATCTCTATTGGCGTCCCCTCTATTGATTTCGATAAGAGAGAAGAATACAGCAAGTGCCATAGCGATAGAGATAACGATCTCTATCCGTTACAGAGATCCAGCCCTGATATCTTCAAGACTCCTAGAGGCAAAGATTTCCCACCTTCCGTCATGCATCCCTCGGCACGGATCGCGTGACACCTTGGATTGGAGGCTTGGTCATCGTCACCTTATTGGGTGACCTTGTAAGGTTATACCCTATGATGTGGCTGCTTACAGCTCAAAAACATAGGCCCTTCTGCCGGGTTTAATAATTCAAATTCAAAATGGCTTTATCGTCGGAAGATTTTTCATGTTATTGACAATACCAAATGTCAAGAGTAAAAAGAAGGTATAAAAAATATAAAAGAAAGTCCATACAAGTCCATCAACAAACCAAATCATCATCAGATATACAAAACTTTATTTGTTTAGTAAGCTTATCGAATCTACCGCAGAACTGCAGAAGCATTTCTCGGACAACGAATTCATAGGGGAAGGAAGGATCTGGCAGAAATAGATAATCCACAGCTAAATCTACATTCGAAGCTCAGCAACAAGATACAACCACAAGATTGGGACACAATGGAATCCATTTGAGTTAGATCGGACGAATTCCCAAGACAAGGAAGGATCTGGCAGAAATAGAAAATCTGAGGTTCTCGGGTGACGGATATGATCGGAAAAGTCTTGAAAAAAAACAATGTGAAGACGATTTTCAAATCAACGATAAGAAATAACAACAATCCCTCAGATCAGTCACTGTCAGGCACCGGACTCTATACCTTATTCCATGCACATGTGAAAATGTGTTGCATATGGGCACCATGAAACCATGATGCATGGGAACCAGAATAAAAGAACATTGAAGAATACACGGTCAATGGATCAGAACATACTTTTTTGAGAGGTTAAGCTTCTCGCACTCGCTGCAGGATACCATATTGTTCGTCGATTTTAATCTGATACTCGGACGGAATGTGAGCTGGTGACTCCCTACATTAGAACGCCAATGGTTACCTGACGTCATACCTGTTTTTGCCATATGAAACACCCCCTCGCTCCTCATACCGCAAGTATCAGTTAAAAATCGACGAACAATAGTCGCCTGGTACGAGAAGCAATAGAAATCCATAAACATCTGGATAACTTTAACAGAAAAGAAACATTGAAACAAGAAATTCTAACTTACGACCGTCATTGAGCGAGCTCGAAAAAAAGTTACTTTATGGTTTATCTGTACCCGCTTCGTATTTTGCTTCTGTTGAAAGCATTTTACCTCGCATTTTACTTTTATGGTTGAACCAAATCCAAACAGCACATTAAGTGGTCATTTTCATTACAACCTATCAAGGGGTTTGAATGTGCTCCAACCACATCATATTAACAGACCTTGGCCCATGCAAAACCTTGTTAAATTTACCGACGTGTCAAATTAGATCGGCCCCTAGTCAAGTTTTGCGCTGGTGATTATTTGATTATCCTTGATTTATTTAATATGTATTATCAATATCTGTACCTCAGAGGTAAACTGTATTAAGTCACTTTTTTTTCGAAAATGGGTTTTTAGCTGAATACTACTTCTAATAACTTACTTGACCTCCGGAAAAAATTTCATACACCCAGCGTTTAAGACAACCGAAATACCCAGTTGGAACCTGTGTCAAGTGACTCACCAGGCTTAAAGGTAAATTGTACTAGAATCACTTAGTGTCAATATATTAAATTATAATATTATGACTTAATACAATTTACCTCTGAGGTACAGATATTTAGTTGTTCACACAGAGATTAGTGGTAGTATCGATCTACACTAAGATCAATCAACAATTGTTCACTGATTAGACTCTTAGAGCAGGTATAAAGCGCTGTCCTACGTAGTACATTAGGAGTAGGAACACGCCATTCTGCTATATATAGTATAGTGCTCTGGAAATATTTGACCGTTTCCAGACTTCTGAAACATACTGTATAGTGTCAGTTTGAAGAAAAATGGATGGAATTCACGATTTTTCCCATTTAAATCAAGAATTTTGAATGAGTTGCGACTACGCCACGACGACTAAAAACGATCGGACGATGCACCATCTCCTAATCTGAAACCGTGGGGAGTAGATACGAAGCGAGGTGCTGAATAGCAATCGGTACTAGCGTCATAAAATTACATATTGAAAAGCCCTTTCACATTTCTTTTCTCAGGAAAGCGCGCCCCTTGAGTGAGAATTATGTCGTATTTTTATCACTACAATCATTATTTTGCTCCATGCCATAACACAAAGGCATTGATGTCATAATATAAGCCATCACGCATCCGTAATGGATACAATGGCCAAATTAGGAGCGTGTATAGCATTGTCTCTTTCAATGGCGTAACAAATTGCCAGGGAGTCTAGCAGGAGTTTGGTTTTGTTTCGCGGTTGTTCAAAATGTATGCGGAAAGTTTTATGCTTGCAGCAATTCATTTATCAATTTATCTAAAAAACATTTGCAGCACAAAAATGGAGGCATAATAAATTTAAAAAAAGGTTTTTAAATTAGTAAATGAGAACAAGTAGCAGGAGAGAAAACACCTGCTGTTTTTATTCCTCCTTTTTAATAATTTATAATTTTCCGAAAAATCTCGTGTTGCCTCAGAGTTACAACAACTTTGTACTTTTTAGAACAGTAAAGTGGTAAATATTTTATGATTGGACGTAATTTGTTTTAGCGGGCCTTTTTCATTTTTATTTGAAAGTTTCACATCTGCTCGTATTCTAAAACTTTATAGTGTTGTTGGTATATAAGTTTTGATTAACTATAATAAAATCTTTTCATTGTACGTATTCGAAATTGTATCCAATGAAAAATGTAGGGCAATAAAGACTAAAGAAAGTTTCAAATCACAATATCAATGTTCCAGGAATTCGTTTACACATAAAATACAGAAAGTTTCAACTTTTATTTATTTTATTTCAGTTGCTACTAGAACATCTAGAATGTCTTGTTTCGAGACACGAACGATCGCTGCGCATGACGGTCGTCAAACGGCAGGCCGCCGCGCAGTCGGGCGTTTCGAGCGAAGTGGAAGTACTCAAGGCACTCAAAAGTTTGTTCGAACATCACAAAGCCTTGGACGAAAAGGTATGATATTTTGTCAGAAATCTGAAATGTTAACATGCTATTTTAGGTACGCGAAAGACTGAGGGTAGCATTAGAAAGAAATACCTCATTAGAAGAAGAATTAGCATCAACCAAAGACGAGGTAAGCATTGTCACAATTGGTTAAATTTGTGCAATAAAAATTTGAATTATAGATACAATGTAATTCGATCCTTTTTTTTATAGGCTATGCAGTGCAAAGGCCCATACATTTTAAATATCTGCCCCTTGGAGCTATATGTATGTGTAATTTGTGATTTTATTGTTTTAGTTACAAAATGTAAAACAGGGATTAACGACTACCAATGTGGCTGCAATAGAAGATAAACCAAAAGAGAATGGGCAATTATTGGAAAATAATGCGGATCAAGTTAATAACAGTCATCATAAGGTAATGTTAAACTGAATTTGTTGATTTAGAGTTTATGCGTGAAAGAGAATCGGATTTGCTTGTGATTTAATATAGTCGCATTTTTATCGTACAAACAAATCACACAATACGAATTTGGCAGGAGAAATGCGACTTTATTTAATGAACTGTTTGTGGAAAATTTGGGCATGTCGTGTTCTTTTTGATGCAGTAAATATTGTAATATCTCATTGTTACTTTCCTGTTATCATCTCTTACAAAATATAAGAGGTTAGGTGTAAGTTAAAATCACAAAAATACATGTAACATATGATTTTTCTATTGCACGCTCATTTTGTATTTTAAATAACTTACTATAAATGTTATCAATGTTGTTATGTCAATGTACAGCATGTTATTGTGTGATATACAGGCGGTACCGGCCAAACCACGACTAACAAATGGCGGCGTTGAAGGCGAAACTGCTGAAAGTGCTGCCAGAATAGCTGACTTACAACAGGCCTTAGAACAACAAGTAGGTATCAATTACCACTGACACTTAAAATTTATGATAATGTAGTAGTTGTTAGCAAACTTCCTTGAAATTGGAAAACAAATTTTGAATTTCCTGTGTGTATTTTTAGACTTCCGAAATCAGTACTTGGCAAAGAAGAGTGGCCGACATGCAAAATCGGGTGAGCGAGCTGGAAGAAAACCTGTCTAAGGCTCAGAAGGAACTGCTAAAAGCTCAAGACATGAACGTCAAATTGCAGAGGGATCTGAGAGAGAACGTGGCTCAGAAAGAGGACCAAGAAGAACGGATTGCAACATTAGAGAAACGATATTTAAATGCACAAAGAGAAAGCACGTCGCTGCACGATTTGAACGAAAAACTGGAGCAAGAGTTGCAGCATAAAGAAGCGCAGATAAAGGTAATTTACCCTATGAAGATAATTAAAAGGGTGTGTTTTAAATTCGTTTTCGAGGTAACTTAAATGTGTGAATGTTTCAATGTATTGGCGCCAAATAAAATGGTAAACCAACAGGCCCCATAAACGTATTTCAAAACAAAATAAATCGAATAGGGGGCCACGCCTCATACGTGTTTCCTAGCGTGAAAAGTTTCACCCCAACCTGTATAATTGGTTGGATTTATTGGGCCTTTTAAATTTGCCATTAAAAACAATGGAAATACTCTGCTTTGAAAGACTAGGAAACTAATTTTGTACTCATTTAGAAAACGTTTTTAACTGAAAAGTTTTTGTTTGAATAATCGTTTTTCCTGTAGGTATCCAGTGAATTAATGCATGATTATTCAGGGTCAGTTAAGTTAGCCCACCCCCCCATAGAAAATTTCTGGATGAAAATTATCCCATAATTTTGCTCTCATTGTGCTCCATTTTGCTCCACTAATTTCGATTTTTCCTCCATTACAGTGGAGAGACTATGTGGCCTATTAGGTAGGGGGGGATGAATTAACGCGTGAAAATTCAGAAATTTGATCATGCTCATTCTGTTCTCCAACTTTTGCTCCATTATCTCCAACTTTTGCTCCATTACTAGGAGAGACCTACAGAGCTCCCAAGAATCTCTCCCAGCCCCCCCCCCATAGGCGTAACTAGAGGGGTGCTAGGGGGGGCTAAGCACCCCTAAAGCAAAAATTAGCACTCCCATTCGGCATCCCACCATAGCACTACCTACATTGGAACTGCCTAACATTAATTTAAAAAATGAGTGCAACCAAATTATTTATTTTTTTTTGCACTTTTTGTACTTAGGTACCTACATCATCGATGACGTCATAATTTAGAAAAAAGTATTTGTCGTTGATTATTTCATTCATGACATAATAGACGAATCAGGCAACGTCATTTTTTGAATACATTTTGTTTAAATAAGTGAATATTGCACCAGACCTGTTTATTAGCGATTAAATTTTTGTTTACCTTTTTTGACAAAATTTTGATAGAAATATTCTGACATTTTATCATAAGTAGAACTCTTTGTTGCTGGCTTTAAGCCCAATAGACCTATACAGTTTTCGCACCAGTTAGTATGCAATTATCTGATAATAGACCTATCTATTTTTACCTGGTATGCGCGCGCAACACGAGGCAATGGCTTTTTATTGGCTAACTAGTACAGGTGTGAGGTGTTCATTTTGCACGCTGGGCATCTCCTTGTCCTTGTTCATTACCCATGGTCTGACAAGGATAAAAGAACGGTTGATATTCAACATTCAACTTGACATAGATTGACAAGTCGCGAGTCAAGTTGTTTGAAATTTTCATTGGCCGAGTTCGTTTTTATCATCTTTTTCGTCGATTTGCTCCGAAATTTTGACAGGCACGTGACTGGATAAGACATTTCCAATTTACAAATCATGTGCCTGTCAAAATGTCTGAACAATTCGACGAAAAAAATGACAAAAATGAACTCGGCCATTGACAAATACGTTGCACAAGACACGGTCTTTCTCCTTCCCTTTTCACCCCATGCAAATAAGAAGGACAGATTGCTATACGTAAGTCTAACATAATTTGATACGTTATATCTCGTCTTGCTCAGCGTTCTGTGTCTTTTTATATCTAATGAAGTTTTCGTATTATTACCTCTGTGTCTGTGCCACTGTGGCAACACTTCTTAAAAGTTACCTTAGGACATGTACTAAACGTGTGCAAAAGCACAACCCATCAGGTTGAAGTTAAAGGTTTGCCTAGATATCGTGCACTAACAGCCCCACTAATAGGTCTATTATTCAGGAAATAATCTAGCCGTATAATCACTCGACCTTATAAATTTAAATGGAATCTTTTTGCAATATTTTGCTTTTTGGCAAATAGTTTCATGCACAATAACTATCAAATAAAATCCCTTGATCAAGGGCTTTTATTAAGTTATTGGGAGAAAATAGAAAAATATACATAATTTTTTGGTAAAAGTCTCGGTAAAAGTAGAAAAAAAAAAAAATAGCACGTCATTATTTTTCAATACCTTTGATATTTTTTCATATTACAGTCAAAAGATACCTTTCCTAATTACAAACAGGCCTGCCAAATTTGAAAAAAAAAATTGTAAAAGGGATTTTTGAGCTAAAAGAACGATTTTTTCCTAAAACTTTGACACCCTGTATCTCAGAAACTACGCATTTCCGGACACATATTTATGGGAACTTTTTTTCTTAATGAAAAGTCGGTTTTCGGCTTATTTGGACTTTATTTAATGAAATATCTAAATCAACAGCCAACGTTTCTTAAAGTATTGTAAGCAATCATATCCTGAAATTACGAACCTTACTTAGGAAACACCCTGTAAATTCTTCTATTTTTTGACCATCCTGTACATGCTATTTCGTTTTAGTAGTTTTTCTATTATTTTTTCAAGAAGCAGAAACTTTTATAAAGAATAAATTTTTCTCGTAAAATTGATAATAAAAAAGTTTCCCATATGCTGCGAACTTTAGTGGACACACTGTATAAATTAATTAACTGCGTCGTATATAGTATACAGGGTGTTCCTAAATATCATGTACAACATTTTAAGTTTTTTTTGGAAAACTAGCAAAGGAAAGATTTAGAAAATTTTCCAGGAATAAGAGGAAAATGAGGAGCTCATTTTACGAAAATTTCAAAATTTTCCAATGGAAAATCACTCCAGGAAACCTTCTGGGAAATTGACTCTTTTAGGCAAAATTCACCCTTTTATATTATAATTTTTTTCTGGAAAACTGGCAAAAAAAAATTGTGAAAATTTTCCAGAAAAAACAGGATAGTAAAGAGTTTAACATATACCAAAATTTTAAAATTTTCCAATGAAAAATCACTCCATAAAAAATTCTGGAAAATTGACTTATTTAAGGAAAATTCACCCTCTTATATTTTAATTTTTTTCTGGAAAACTGGCAGAGGGAAAATTTTGAGAATTTTCCAGGAAAAAGAGGAAAGTGAGAAGCTCATTATAGAATAATTTCGAAATTTTCCAATGAGAAATCACTCCAAGGTAAATTCTGGAAAATTGACTTTTTCAAGTAAAACTAAGGTAAATTCATCCTCTCACATTTCAATTTTTTTCTGGAAAACTGGCAATAGAGGAAAGTCAGGAGTTCAATATAAGAAAATTTCAAAGTTTCTCAATGGAAAATCGCTCCAGGAAAAATGACTTTTTTAAGTAAAATAACTCATCCTTTCACATTTCAATTCATTTCTGGAAAACTAATAAAGCAAAACTTGTGAATTTTTTCCAGGAGGAATAAGAAAATGAGAAGCTCATTATAGGAAAATTTCAAAATTTTCTAGTGAAAAATCACTCCAAGGAAAGTTCTGGAAAATTGACTTTTTTAAGCAAAATTCATCCTTTCACATTTTATTTTTTTTTCCTGAAAACTGACAAAGCAAAAATTGTAAAATTTTTCCAAGAGAAAAAGAAAGTGAGGGGCTCATTATAGGAAAATTTTAAAATTTCCCAGTGAAAAATTCTGGAAAATTGACTTTTTCAAGTAAAATTAAGAAAAATTCATCCTCTCACATTTCAATTTTTTTCTGGAAAACTGGCAAAGCAAAAATTGTGAAATTTTTCCAAAAGAAAGAGGAAAGTGAGGAACTCAATATAAGAAAATTTCAAAATTTTCTAGTGAAAAATGACTCCAGAAAAAATTCTGGAAAATTGAATTATTTAAGCAAAATTAAGGAAAATTCCGAGGAAAATTCACCCTTTCACATTTAAATTTTTTTGGAAAACTGGCAAAGGAAAAATTTTGAAAATTTTCTAGGGAAAAGATGAAAGTGAGGAGCTCTTTATGGGAAAATTTCAAGATTTTCCAGTGAAAAATTACTCCAGGAAAAATTCTGACTCACTTCAGGAAAAATTCTGGAATATTGACTTTTTCAAGTGAAATTAAGGAAAATTCATCCTCTCATATTTCAATTTTTTTTTTGGAAAACTGACAAAAGAAAAATTTTGAAAATTTTCCAGAGAAAAGAGGAAAGTAGGAAACTTATTATAGCAAAATTTCAAAATTTTTCAGTGGAAAATCGCTCCAATTTTTTTTTTGAAATATTGACTTTTTCAAGTAAAATTAAGGTAAATTCATCCTCTCACATTTCAATTTTTTTCTGGAACACTGGAAAGGAAAGATTGTGAAATTTTTCCAAGAGAAAGAAGAAAATAGGGAGCATAATTTCAAAATTTTCCATTGAAAAATCACTCCAGGAAAAATTCTGGAAAATTGACTAATTTAAGCAAAATTAAGGAAAATTCACCTCTTACATTTAAATTTTTTTCTAGAAACTGGCAAAGGAAAAATTTTGAAAATTGTCCAGTAAATAGAAGAAACTGAAGAGCTCATTATGGGAAAATTTCAAAATTTTCCAGTGAAAAATCACTCGAGGAAAAATTCAAAAAAATTGACTTTCAAGTAAAATTAAGGAAATTCATCCTTTCACATGTCAATTTTTTTCTGGAAAACTGGCAAGGTAAAAATTTTTTCAATTTTTCCAGGAGAAAGACGAAAGTGAGGAGCTCATTATAGGAAAATTTCAAAATTTCCAGTGGAAAATCGTTCCAGGAAAAATTCTGGAAAATTGACTTTTCTAAGAAAAATTCATTTTCTTTTTTATTTTTTTCCTAGAAAACTGGCAAAAGGAAAATTTCCCAAAAAAAAGAGGAGAGTGAGGATCTCATTATAGCAAAATGTCAAAATTTTCCAGTGCAAAATCACTCCAGGCAAAATTCTGGAAAACTGACTTTTTTAAGCAAAATTCATTCTTTTACATTTTAATTATTTTCTGGAAAACTGGCAAAGTAAAAATTGTGGAATTTTTCCAGGAGAAAGACGAAAGTGAGGAGCTTATTATAGGAAAATTTTAAAATTTTTCGGTGGAAAATCATTCCAGGAAAAAATCTGGAAAATTCACTTTTTTAAGCAAAATTCATTTTTTCACTTTTTAGTTTTTTTTCTAGAAAACTGGGAAAAGGAAAATTGTGAAAATTTTCCAGAAAAAAGAGGAAAGTGAGGAGTTCATTATAGCAAATTTTCAAAATTTTCCAGTAAAAAACCACTCGCGGAAAAATTCGGGACTTAAGCAAAATTAAGGAAAATTTACCCTCTTACATTTTAATTTTTTTTGGGAAACTGGCAAAGGGAAAATTTTGGTAAATTTTCCAGGAAAAAGATAAAAGTGGGGAGCTCATTATAGGGAAATTTCGGAACTTTCCAGTGAAAAATCACTCCAGGAAAAATTCTGGAAAATTGACTTATTTAGGCAAAATTAAGGAAAATTCACCCTCTTACATTTTAATTTTTTTTTGGAAAACTGGCTACGGGAAAATTTTGAAATTTTCACAGGAGAAAGAGGAAAGTGAGGAGCTCATTAGAGGAAAATTTTAAAATTTTCCAGTGAAAAATCACTCCAGGAGAAATTTATTTATATAATTTCGGCTAACTGAATAAACTCTATTCTAAGTTAAAAAATGTATTACAAAACAATAATTCCGAAGGTGCTCTATGAATTAATCTATGACTTAACTTTTTCTCTAAGTTACGCCATCGATTTTGACAAAACCACGAGCCGTAAGGCGAGTGGTTTTGTCAAAAATTTCATGAGCGAAATTACCAAAAAGCAACAAACTTGAATAAAACCAAGAGAATAATAATTTTGCCTATATAATTTTTTCTTGCGTGGTATTCGGCTGGACTATTTCACGAGAAAAACAAACCAAATTTTCATTTGGAAACCTAGGTAGGAACAGGTAGAAGTTTTGTCAGTAGGAAACCGGCCGTTCCTATGACATTTTACCAGTGTAAAACACTCTGTAGTGAAATAGTCATCCAGATATTTTCTATGGGGAGGGGGGGCTAACTTAACTGACCCGATTATTCTTTAGGTACTCTTTTCTCAAATAATCGTCAATGTTTACCTGATAGCAATCTTGTACTTGAACTTATTGAATATAAACAATGTATCACAAAAAAATAGTTCCAATAATTACCCATTTTATCATAATGTTGACTTGAACTGCAATAAACTATCATAAACAAACACCTAATAATAACTACTCTAAAATGTAATTATTAAATTACGATTGCTCAAGTTCAAGTTTAAGAGTCAACTATATCATATACATCAGTGCAGTGTTATTTTATTCAAAAATGCAGCACGTAATAGGTTTAGTTGCTGATCTGATGTCAATTTTTCAGCTGCACGAAGAAAAAATAGCCGCCATTCAAGAAAAACTTGAACTGGCCGAACAAAAGTTGGCTCAATACTCGAAACTTCCAGAGATAGAGGAGCAGCTCAAGATGCGCATGGAGGCGCTTACGCAGGTGAGACCCCAGGTACGAGGCTCTCAGCTCACTTATTTCTCTAATTATACTATTTCTTTCTCTTTATTGACTGTTTTTTTGTCCTATAGAGCACTATTTCCTCAATTTAGTAGTTGAAGGTTTATGTATAATAATTAGCACACGATAATATTTTATAATAATGGGCTTGATGGAAAATATAATCCAAAGGCCATTGCTGATGCTTCTAATATTGATACAAATAAGGACAATTTCAATGAAAATTACTTTATTTTTATTATTATTCAAATTAGCTTAGTTTTAGGTTATGCTTTGTTCACACACCTAATCACTTACATAAACCTTCAACTACATAATGTATGTGCTAGTGTATAGTTTCTTATAGATGTTAGATTATAAAAAAGCAGTATATTGTGTGGAATTGCATTTTTACTGTTTCACTTTAAGAGATAAATACTGAAACCAAACTTTTCACATAACTACTACTGCTTCATACACAATAAAAATATTAAAACACGAAAACCAAAAACCTAGATTTAGAAACTTGATGTTATAGATTCTAGATAATATTTTAGTATTAAAAGTGAGCCTTGAGCTAGATCTTTATTGAACACAATTTCCTGCATTGCCTTTCCATAAAATGCACTAACAATATCGAGGTCGAGGTAGGATTTTCTCTCCTGACTCCAAAACACATATTATTGCATTTAAATGTTTGCTTTTAGTAACCCTACTATAAAAATCTAAGCACAATTCCCACACCTTTTTATTGTTAGGCTCAAGAACGGCATGGCTCTGCAGAAGACCGAATCCAAAGGTTGGAAGCCAATCTGGACGAGAAAAATGCCGAATTAGTGAGGTTAAATCAAAGACTGAAAATGAACGAGGACCACAACTCTCGTTTGTCCGCTACTGTCGATAAATTATTGTCGGAATCCAATGACAGGCTGCAAGATCATTTGAAAGAACGAATGCACGCTTTACAGGAGAAAAATAATCTCACGCAAGAATTGGAGAAAACGAGGAAGATGATGGAGGAATTGGACCAACAAAAGGTTGAAATTATGAAAGAGCTCGCCAAGTCTAGGCTGGAAATTGATAATGTCAAGCGACAAATGTTGCAGCAAGAAATTTCTTATAATATTCAGCAAACAGATGCTCTAACAAGGTAAAATATGTAACTTTTTTAAATTGTAGGAGTGCTAATTGTAGCATAAACATGAAAGTTAACAATGGTTGTTGGCAATATCAATTTATTCACATTAATAAAGGGTATATCTAATTTATATAATTAACATTTAAAACTCCTGTTCAGTAGCACATTCAGTGTTTACCACTTTCTGCCCTTACCAACTGTTTGCGAATAATAAAATTTGATCTTATAATCTTAATAATGCTGCTTCCAAATCTGTAGTATGTTAGCTCTACGTGCGAATTTCTGGTTCTATCTGTAGCACCACAAATTTCATTTTCGCTTTATGTTGAGTTTCCATTTTCCATAGGTCTCTGTCTCCAAACGCAGTGGATCCAAGCAACTTTTCTCGTAGCGCAAGCCATTCCAGTTTCGATACGCATTCCTTACCAAGGAGACCAAATAAGAGCCGGACTCCTATAGAAGAAGATCCTAACAAAATGGCATTCGGCTCTAGATCGATGACGGAGCACGAATGGGAAAAAATGCAGCAAGCTCATGTGTTAGCTAATGTCCAGCAAGCTTTTGATGTTTCTAGTGATGCTGAAGGAGACGATAATGACAGTTTGTTCAGGTAAGAATAATATGTTAATACATATAATTATTATACACTCGCTGGTACAAAATTCCTACCAGTCTGAAATTTCGGCCAAATTTGATGTTTTATAACTTTTTTATTTTTCATCCGATTTTCATGATTTTCTTACTAGTTTGTAGAAATATTTATTGAGTTACATCTCTAATTGTTTCATAAAGTAAAATTTTTCGATTACGCTAACTATATTATACAGGAGTAAACCAAACTGTTATTTTTGGCCATACTTTCAAAACACCCTATTTGTAGGAAAATTAACGTGTATAATTTTATTAATACTTATACTGTTCCTTGTTATCTTTGATGTATTCTAAACATTTCGTTTTTTGATTCATTCCATTATCTAGTTTCTGCTGAGAGCTGCAAATTTTTTATCAAAACGCTGATTTAAAGCCTGTTTTTATTAAGAATAACAAACACTAGGTATATCATAAAGTTAATTGAGGGGGCGTTAATGACATTGAAATCTGTTTCTGATTTTTCCGAATCCGTTTCGGAAGAAAATGAAGAGTACAGTGCTTTAAAGCTGGCTGCGGCACCAAGTTTGTGATTTTTATAAAGACCAAATATTTAACACTCCGTTATTGCGAAAGTAATCTTTTATTATTCAAGCTGCATGCTACAACGCCACAACAACAAATACAAAAGTGTTTAAAATAAGGCTGGGTGTACATGACCTACATAAACTGAAATATTTGGATGGTGATTCCAACACCCCTTCTCAATCCAAATATTTTCACAAAAGAAACGTAAATAAAAATTCCCAAATGAAGAGTACATACCTTAATTCTAATTGTTTAATAAGCCTAAACCTAATTTATGTTTTCTGAACAAATCACCCTAAATATTCTTGGTGAGGATGTCAGCAATTTGTAATTTAGTTGATATGTACTCAACAACAATTGTTCCTTCATTTACTGTCTTTGATAAAATTGAATTTTACATCGACATGTTGTAACCTCTTATGATCAAACCTTTTAGTTAATTTAATGCAGGACTGGTAATCTTCAAATATAGTTAAGTTAGTTTTTGCAAAACCAAGATCACTCAACAGGTCGCCCTTCTTTTGCTGCCTCAGCTAATGCAACATACTCTGCTTCACTAGAAGATGTTGCCACAGTTGCTTGCTTTTTCGTAAACGAGCAAACTGTACCACCAAATACTTTAAATAAATATCCACTAGTTGATTTCCTATCAGATTCGTCACATGCCCAATCGGGGTTTGCGGATCCAACTAAACCAACACTATCCAGAGAAAAACAAAGTTCTAAATTTATGGTACAGCAGGAGGACTATCATCAATAATTTTTAAATTACCAATTTCTAAAGGTGTGCTAACTGGTTAACAGTCACTCATACTGAAACGTTTTAACACATTTATTATGTAACGGGGTAGTATACTATGTATGAAAATCAGTAAAAAAACTGCTCGACTTTATTCTATAGGCTAAGTGGTAATGATATAGTGAGATACTAAATTATTTTCCAGCATATAGTGTCTATAGAATTAGTCAGAGAAAAACAAACTGTAATTTGAATTCAGCGCCACAGTGGCGACCAGTAGTATTCGAGCCGCTGACCATCTGGCAACGCTGCTCAAAATGCCTCAAAACGACAGCTGACTTCAACAGTTCAACGACGTGTGGTGTCGTGTGAATCATGTGACATGTGACATTGTCGCAGTAACTTGCTTACGTTGTTTGATGTAGTAAATTTGACGTTTCGTTCATGACGTTCAATGTCAGTGCAAATTGCGCGTTCTCAAAACCGCGATGTGTTGCCAGATTGGAAAAGCTAACTATGTCACGAACTTTTATTTTCACGTAGGGGCGGGGCTAAGAGGAAATTTAAAAAAAAATAAAAAATTCAGTGTATTGCGGTTTTTACAAACAGTGTTGCCAGGTCTACTGATTTATCAGTAGATCTAATGATTTGGCCATTGGTCTACTGATATACTGATATCAATGTGAATTCTACTGATAAAAGCAGCTGTCATTATTTAACTGCTTTTTATGATATTTTTTAAATTATAATCATGTATGAGAATGTCAGCAATAATTTCATGCTTGACCTGTGGGCTAGAACTCTTAGGAGTGTACTCTAATGACGCCCGATTACTCCGATCAGTCCGGTGTGGTATGTATTGGAACATTTAAACGCTCGCAGTGCAGGCGCAGCACTCAGCCTACTGGGAAATGGGTAATCCCCGGGGTTCGTGCCTGCTTGTATCGTGTCTTGTTTAGTTGCCTAAAGGCATGCGTTGTTGGTAAGTCAATTGGTCATATAGCGTTATGCTGTACAACTAACTGCAGCCTGTTTCACCTGTTTTTATCAGAGACTAGACTACTAACTACCTACATACTACATAGGTAGTGCATTCTTTGGTAGTGCATATTAAATAGGAATATTTCATGTCTCTTGATAAACTATTTCCCATAGATAGTATTGATGTTTGATTTTCCAATGCAAGTTTTCACAGTCTAAAGATTCAATGATTTGAAAAAGTGTAACTAAAACAATGAATTGAGTATCTATACCCTAATGGTTCACCCCTTTAACTAGGCAACTTATCTGTCTACTGATTTCTACTGATATTTAGACTGGTAGTCTACTGAAAAAACAAAATATGACCTGGCAACACTGTTTACAAAGCAACTGATTACACTAAATAGTACGATACGTCGAGTATATCACTTGTCTTCTTCAATTGTCCCATGCAGGAAGGCGGATTTGACATCCGCATTTGTTGAATTTTTAAGTTTTTAAAATTGGCAACAGTCAATAAAGTTCTTACTGTACTTAACCTCGGGACAGGCGCATAAGTTTTTTGGAAGTCAAAGCCCTCTTTCTGCATAAATCCTTTGGCAACAAGTCTAGCCTTGTACTTTACTTTATTTCCTACATCATTAGTTTAAATTCAGAAAACCCATTTGCAATCTATTAATCTTACATTTTCAGGTCTCTCGACTAAAGCGGCGTTTCCACATGCATAGTTTATTGGCGCTAGTCGACTGGCGCAACTTTTCTGGCGCGTGGAAACGCAGAAAATTAACTGGCACCAGTTAACTGTCGCCACTTTTTCATGCGCCAGTAAAGTAGAATGGAGGTCTACTTTTTGGCGCCAGTTTGCCATGTGTGACAGTTTGTCAAAAACAATAGAAACGTTTTCACTAGTGGTTCCCAAAAAATTGAACATATTAAGTTTATGGAAGAGCATCCCTGTTTGTGGAATCACAAACTTTTGTGCTACAAAGACAGGAAAAGCCGCATGATGCTATAAGGATAAGTGTTGACGTATTGTGCGGGTTCTCGCGTTCTTAAGTGGCTTTGATATCACTGCTGCTAAAAGCAAAATAAGAAGCTTTGGAAATTCTTCATGGTCTTCATCCGCTAACTCGGACAGTAAATTATTTGATGCTCCTAGAGCGTGAAATCCATCTTGTGTTTATGTCTCTTCTTCTTGTTTTTTCGGGTCTTCTGAAATAATTCTAGAAACAAAATATCCACAGCAACATAATACCACAGTTTATACCGTATCGATACAGTTGTACAACTCTCCATATTTTTTGAGGCCAAATTCTCCAACCAATAGGAGCATTTTGTCTCATATCTTGCGCATGCGCTCAGTGAGTGAACAAATCTCTCAAATTGAAAAAGCAGTTCGGCATATACATGTCTCTTTCCAATCCTGCACGCAAAAAAGAGATAGAGGTAGCTTGGGTGAGAACCCGCGAGAAATAACTGTCAAACGAGACACGCAACAGGATTGTATTACAAAAAAAGAAGAGAAGTTTTTTGACTGAAATTATTCAGGAAATTGAAAAGTAACCGGAAAATTCATCAATTTGAAATTCGGCTTAAGAGTGTCTTGCTTTCCGTGTTATTCGCGATTTTTGTGTACTTGACTGTTTTATCGTTTATATATTGTGTATTATCATGGTTGCTTCCTGTTTTGTCTGTAAAAACAACACTAGAACTAGCCCAGGCTTAGGATATTTTAGTTTCCCGAACGATGAACGACTGTAAGTATTTATATTTACATATTTCATATTAGGTTTACTCTATACATTCATATAATCTTTGTTTATTATTATATGATCCCGTTATACTCTCAATGTTAATCCACAAAAAATCTTAGTCCGACTCTGTCCACGGCCCAGGATTCGCTGTTTCCGATCAATAATGCGCAAGCGCGAAATATAGGGACATAGAATTTGGCTTCAAAAAAATCAATGGTTTGTCAACGGAGTTGAACAACTGTATCGGCAAGGTATAAACTGTGATAATACCTGCTTGAACCATTTAAGTTGACGCCATTTTCAATTTTTCTACTGCGCCAGTTAAAAGTTTTTGATATCAAGTGGAAACAGATACTGGCGCCACTATTATTACGCCAACAAACTGGCACGTGCACTAGCGCCAATAAACTATGCGTGTGGAAACGCCGCTTAATGTCCAAGTATTGTTTTTAATCAAAGAGTTGATTTCCTCATCTACTGCATTTTTCCAAAACTTGTACTCAGAAGACTCTTTTGCTCTCTCTAAGCTAAGGCATATTGTCAACGAAAGTTGAAGTGTTTAAGGCCATATGCTCAAATTCATATATCTACATTTTCACTTGCCTCATGCTCACTCTCATTCATCTCCTGTTCATGTACATTCATTCCTATTTCCTTTTCGATAACATCCATGCTTTCAAAGTTATCAGCATACAAATGAATCAAATTAGTATTTCCTTTTAAGTTACTTATATTTTTAGACTCATCAAATAGTTATTTGTGGAACCACTTGGGAAAAGCACTATTTCTCGTAACGAGCAGATTTCTGCGGAACGAGCGAAGCGAGTTCCGCAAAAGGCAGCAAGTTACGAAAAATTACATTCCTAACTATTTTAACATTTTTTTTGATAGGATTCCAAACCCTATAGCCATTATATTATCTACCCTATCATTATATTAATCTCACTTTTAGAGTCAAACTTAGATTCCTGCTTTTCTTTGGGTATATGACAATAAACTAAACTACCAAAAACTTTCAAGTTCTTCAAATCAGGTTTTACATTATAGAACATCTCAGATGGAGTAACATTTTTTAAAGAAGCAGTTGAAGCACGATTTAGCAAATAATTTGCACAAAGAATTGATTCCCCCCATAATGATTTAGACAACTTTGACTGCAATATTAAAGCTGTACCCTTTTCCAATAGCGTTGTATTGAGTCGTTCAGCGCTTTCATTCATTTCATTTCCGGGTTGTAGGGGACAGAGTACCTAAACCCTTGGACTCGGAAAAACCAACAAATTGATTGGAACAGTATTCACTGCCATTATCACATTGTATAGAACCAATCCTGTAACCAGTTAAGGTAGTAACAAAAGCCTCATATTCCTCAATCTGTGGATGTATGTCACTGTGCACAAAATTTCCCTTTTTGTCACCATTCTAGAAGCCGTCTCAAATGGTTAAACGAGTAATTTTTGACTGACAGCAAACAGAACAATATAAATAAAGATAACAGTGACAGTAACACATAGCAGTAACAGTTTACGTTCTGTGCAGTTTACCTACTGTTTTATCAAAAATAACATCAAATTCTACCATTTACAGATTATTTTCCTTTTTACCTTTCGCAATTAATTTGCCTCTGCTAAATATACATACAGAATTATTTTCAAAAATAACTTTTAGATTGGCACTTTCTAATTTTTGAACAGATAATAAGTTGCGTCTTAAATTTTCAATAAGTAAAACATCTCGAATCTCACCTGAATTTATTCCTTGAAATTTTACCTTGATAACTCCTGATTTTTAAGCACTTACGGCCAATTTCATAATAGAGAATTAAAAGTTAATTAAGCTAAATAGACTTTGATAGGATTTTTCAACTTCAAATGGAGCTTTAAATTTAAAGTTTACTTTAAGTTGATTATGAAATTGGCCGTTAGACTTTCACCATTTTTGGCAACTGCAATTTTAAGTTCGCCTTCTATGTCCAGATTTACCACAATTGTGACATGTAAATTTCCTTTTTTGTTCATTATTATTGTTCCTTGTGTTTTTCCAATTTTTCTGACTTGTACTATATGCACAACGTTTCTTGCATTAGCTTCTTCCATTTGTGTAAAATTCATTTTCCTCATTTCATGGTCCAATAGTTTTCCTTTTACAAAGTCCAATGTCAATCTATCCTGTTCTAACGTTTCGAGGGCTGCTACAATGGTATCGTAGCTTACAGGCAATGTTAGTAACAAGTGACATACAATATCTATTTCTTCTAAACTAGCTCCGACAGATTTGAGCTCTCGTACAGTCTCTTCAAACTTTATAAAGTGGTTTTCCAGACTTTCACTCCTTTTAAGTCTTAATGTCGGCAACTTTCTTCGTAGGTACAATTGACTGGCAATACCTTGCCTTTGAAACAGCTTCTCTAAGGCAACCCACATTTGATATGCAGTCTTTTTATCCTTGATGTACTCAAGGTGAGAATTTGCTACACATTGGACAATAATTGCTTTACCTTTTTTGTCAAGCTTTCAGCTGCTGCTCAGTCGGAGAAGAGATTTCATTTTCAATAGTTGATTTAATCCCATTTTGGTCTAATATTGTTTCCATCCTGAATTTCCAATGGTCATAATTTTTGCCGCTGAATTGTCTTCCATACTTTTCCACAGTACAATTTTGTTCCAGGGAGGTGGCCATTTTTATATTCCTCAATCCCCACAATTTTAGCTCACCAAAAACAATTTCCGAGCTTGGTTACCTACGTCTTCTCCTCTGGGCCCATAACCTGACGAGTACAGTGCTTTGAAGCTGGCTGCGGCTACCAAGTTTGTGATTTTTATAAGACCAAATAATTAACACTTCGTTATTTCGGAAGTAATCTTTTATTATTCAAGCTGCATGCTACAATGCTACAACCAAGAATCGTACGCTACAACAACAGGTACAAAAGTGTTCCACAACATAACGTAGGATTTATTGCATTCCAACTTCTGTCAAATATCAACTATAAAATAAGGCTGGGTTTACATGACTACATGACCTACATGAACTGAAATATATGGATTGTTAAAGTCTGTTTTTTTTTAAAGGTAGAAGTCAAAATGACATTATGTTGGCAATACAATGTATAATTGTCAATGCTTTCAAATTTTTCATGTGGAAAGGGCTTGTGTTGCCAAAATAGTGACTAAATTTTTGACTTTGTCGTGTCGACACTTTTTACACTATTGACACTGTGGCGTTCATTAATTGGTAGGAGTAAGTTTGGTGTACACTTTATCTGCGTTTGGAAATGATTTGGTTTTCAAAGGGTGTAAATATGGTGGGACACCGTTCACTCGTTACAAAGTGATGGTGTATTTGGTGTTACACCGCCGATTACACCTTCATCATGTGATACAACACTACACTACACGAACACCGCACTAGCACTGCACTAAAATCCCATTCCCAACTCAAGTCTTATATTGTCATTTGCATATCATTGAAAGGCGGAACACTCGTTCTCCTGGAAACGCTGCTCCCCTGTTTCAAAAACAAACCCTAGATTCGTCTGTGAATAGTACGTTTTCCCACTCTTCTAGAGTCTAGTCAAAATGCAATCTTGCAAAGTCTAGTCAGAATGCAATCTTGCAAATCTCAATCGGTGTTGTCGATGCCAAGGACGTAATTGTGGACATATTGATGGCATTATTGAATGAAGCCCAGCTTCTGCCAATTTTTTACGAATAGTTCTTTCACTAACACGTACTTGACGAACCATTTTCAAGTCATTTTTTAGACACACAGCAGTAGATCTTCGATCTCTGGAGAACTAACAATGACAAAGCGATCATCAGCTGCAGTGGTCATTCTTCTTCTGCCAGAGCCGCCTAGTAAAAGTTCCCGTCTGTAAATACCTATTCAAGGCATCTCGAACAGTAGACCGCGCAATTCTCAAAGTACAGGCGACATAACTTTTGCTACTGCCATCCTCTATTAACACAACAATTTTACCGACGTCTGTGGAGTTTACCATATTGACAGACAACAAATTATAATATTGTCAACATTCTGTCACAATAATCGCGTTAGCCAATGTTGATAATTTTTAATTGAAATCTTGACAAACGTTTTCAATAACAACATCGTTTCAATAAAAAAATTGCAGCTCGCAGCAGAAACGAAATAATGGAATGAATCAAAAAACGAAATGTTTAGAATACATCAAAGATAATAAGAAATAGTATGTAAATAAAATTATCCACCTCAATTTTCCTACAGGGTGTTGTGAATGTACGACCAAAAACAACAGTTTGTTTTTGTCCAGTAGAATATAGTTTAATCGAAAAATTTTACTTTATGAAACAATTAGAGATTTACCACAATAAATGGATGTACAAACTGATCACAAAATCACAAAAATCGGATGAAAAATAAAAGAGTTATAAAACATCAAACTTGGCCGAAATTTTAGGATGGCGGAATTTTCTGCCGGCGAGTGTATTTACGCTTGAAGACATAGTAGGAAGTGGTTCATTGATTTTAATTGAAATTATCATTATTTCCACAGTAATGCGGATATTCTTTCCCCATCCGGTCATACCGATGCCCAAACGCTGGCCATGATGCTCCAAGAACAGCTGGACGCCATCAACAATGAGATCCGGATGATCCAAGAGGAGAAACAAAACACAGAGGCAAGAGCGGAAGAGTTAGAGTCGCGCGTGGGCAGCATGGAACACATGAACCTGCTCGCCAGAGGCAGGAGCCTGGAAAGACAATCACCCCCTGTAAGCGGTAGATCGACTCCAAAATCGCACCATAGCCCTCAGAGGGATTACATGCATAAGTATCATACGGTGAGCTGGGTTTCTCCTACTCCTCCCGATTTTTTTTTTTTTTCTTTCTATTCATTTTCCAATATTTTATTTTTTCAAATTCGTTTTATTTACTCTGTTTGGCATTTGGTTGCTACTAGTAAAAAGTAAACTCGTCGAGTTTGCCATTTATTAGCAGGCATGCGTTGTTCAAATTTTTCTTTTTTTTACCATTTATTAGTTATTTTTACTTTGTGCACTATTACTTTTTTATGCCAAATCATTGTAAATATCTTATACAAAATGGTATATTATACTTACCATACTTTTTTTTAACAGAGGAAGTATGAATATAAGACCAATGACAATACAAAACATATAACTATTGTGTTGAGAAGAGAATATTGAAAAAATAAGTTTTAAAATTTTTAAAGTGTACATACAAAGTGTCATATCCATATATTTTAGTAGCTACAAATAGAATTTTGCATTACTAGTTTTTCAGGTACTATGGGACAAAGTTCTTTTCTTGAAAATAATCTCATACATAATTTCGATTTCTTTAAATCAAAGAGGGCCATGGAGACCAAACAAGATCAGAAAACTCTATTATTGATCTGATATATCCTTAGGCCATATCCAATGGACAAAATTTTTGAAACTAGGCCGTCTTCAAAGTCTACTCAGGATCTTTATTCTCTAAAGCCAAAAAAGCTTTGTACTGATTTTACATACAAATAAATCGCACTAAATATATGTATATGTATATTTTTTCCTATCTCAGACTGACTTAGGTATGTTTCTTGGTATGTTCTGAGTGTTTTGACCCACTGAAGTCGTTCTATTGGACACCTATTTGAGACTCTTGATGATCATCTGGAATCATGCAATTCAAAATTTATTTGTGGCTGGCTTTTCCATTTTGTTTTGTTTTCTACCAACTATTTCAATTGAATAGGAATGCTAGCAAAAACTAGAGTGATATAATTTCCTGAATCTAATAAGTACTATATTGACTGTGAGGCAATTTGGAGCACGTCTAAAGGACGTGTGATACGATCTACAGCTTTTTGAGGCAACTGTGTTCTCAGATTACCAGGGGCAAAGTCTGGATAGATGGAGAAGTTGCGCTTAATGGATCAAGTGGGCTCCTTGTTAAAATGTCCTTGTCGGGCCAGGGGTTTTTCTGGTGACAATTTTTGATTATGCTTTGTAAGTTTTTCTCAAAAGACTTCAATTAGCACAAAAGTAGTTAGTTTTTTGGGCCTGTTTGTACTTGGCCCATTTTTTTGTATAAGTTTCAATATTTGATTTCCATATTTGGCTCTTATTATTCCCTGAATTTGCCCTTTTGCTTTGATCAATGGCATCTTCTCCAAAATAATGAATATGGGTATAACTTTGTTACTCTTTGCTTTCCCAACTCCATGCAGTTAACTTGCCCTAGCTTATTTATTCGATATACCTGACTACAAAATGTTTTAACATAAAACCTTTTGTTGCATAGATAAATTGCATTTTTCAATAAGAAGATCTTGATCTTTGTGAAACCCTATGCAAAAGGATCAATCTGTACAGTCTTTACGCATACATAATTCTATCGTTTACCTAACTCCGCATTTTCTGAGTAGGTATCTGAATAATAAATTGTTTTTAATTATTATTATCTAACTTTTTTAATATGTTTTGTATTGTCAATATTATCGATGTGATGTTGTAGGCCCCGGCAAGTATGTCTCCAGCCCATTTGCAACAATATCACTCGAGTTTGAGCCCAGGCACTTTGTCCGAATCCTTACCATCCAGCCAGGTTTGTGTGCCAATAATCTCTCAATTTATTTGGCTGAAAACGATATTGTAATTTATGAAAAACAGAATCCACTTACTGCTTCTAGAGATTGCTCAGTTTCAAATGGCGCTTTGATTGTCACATTTACCACTTGATATACTCAAATTATTATTTAATTTTAGTTGAAATAAATAAGTCATAAGGCCATCTGAATCAAGCAATGTTCAAAAACGAAACAGTAAAAATTCCTCTTTACAAAATTTAATTTTATTGTTGGCTTTAACATTACACTACACCAGTACACCAATACACACTGCATCACATCCATAATATCCACGATCATTGGCTGCACAAATTATTTTTCTTCGATATTTAATTTTTTGCATGTTTGAACAAGTCAATCAATCAACTAAATTGCTGTATGGTTCACCTGTATAACTTATGTAAAGTAAAGGTTGGAGGCACCCCACTCGCTTAAATTTGCTTAATTAAATATTATGATTACAGGCCAAAATTATATTTCTTTTTTGACTTCTAATTTTGATTAGTCTTTCAATTATTGTAAATATTGAGCAATATCAATTATATCCGAGAGGCTGAATAAATAGCTTTCATAATTGATTATATTGGTAAATTTATGATTGAATAAAATATTTTCTCAGCTTCAACTTGCTCCGTTACAATCGGACATGTCAAGAGAAGAAATGCATTTGGCAGAAAACAGTAGCGGTGGTGGTGCATCTCCATTGACAGCCAGATCGTTACGATTGGAAAGAGTAGCTCAAGCACTTGCTCATAGCCAAGAAGAACTAAGAAGGTAAGTTGAATTTTGTACATTTTTATTACGAAATGAAAATGTATCTATTTTTTTGTTGCTAAGACGAACTGGAGCTAGTGGCCTTTCTCCAGGAATGAATTACAGGTTACTACATTTCTGTTTTTTTAATGGTTAAGCTCAGTAAATTGAAAGCTTTACTTTTATCAGATTCAATGTTCAATTACCTCTTGTGAGGATTCCTAATTCTCGCGTTTGCATGTCTCTTTTTTTTCATGGTCACCAAGGTACTATCAAATCAATCAATCATAAATATCCTTCATTGTCTAAAATGAAATTCATTTGTTTGCAAAGCTTATCACTCATATTTCTAAACTAGCAATAGGAAAACTTTTTCCTCAAACAGGATTACATGATTTTGTATGATTGAGGAAACGTTTTACTTAATGGATATTTGTTAGTAGACAGTTTGGTACTGATGAAAGGAGCATGATCCTAATACCATTCGCCTTTTTGTTCAATAAAACAATACCTGCTACATTCAAACATACACTATAGAATCCTGGTATGGACTCGAGTATGTCTGAGAAGTTTTGAGATGACCCAGGAAAAATGTCCCATCTCATTTCTGTGTAATGCAGGGACAATCACATAATTCCAAATGGTTTTAAGCTTCAAACCCAAATTACCCCAAGTATAGTCCTACTAAAGATATGAGGAGAGCAAAAAGTAAATATAAGATAGAGTCCACCAGCCAATATTTAAGAAAATGCGAAGCTTTAAAAACAATGCATCGAGGTCTTTACAACTGGAAATTGAAATCACTCGACTCATGAAGATGTCTATAACTATCTAAGGGTCCCAATTTTACTACAGCTCCCAAAGGCATTCCACCCTTGGAAATAGTATAGCCATATTAGCAACATTTCTCAAATGAAAGATAAGGGAACAACTAGAAAAACAAAAAATGAAGAAACAAATCAAGAATATATCCAAGGATTTAAGGACTGAATCTTAAATATTGTTGGTCTGTTGTTGATCCTCCTGATTAGGTCGATGCAACGGTCACTATATTCATAGAAACTTACACCAAGCTGGAACCTACCCTTGATACACTGAAGAAAGAAATAACACAATATGCACAGTAGACAGGAGAATCTACAATATACAAAGCATATAGAGCTGACAACCAGGCTCAGTCTCCACAATAGCAAACCACCACATTTCTATGAATTGCCGAAAATACATAAAAACTGAATCCCACTTACAAAGAAGTTCACTGTCAGTTTTACCAAAACCAAGTTTTCGGCCGTATGGCGACATTCTGAGCTACGGGGCTTTGAAGGCCAATTTGCCACCTGGTCCAGCACCAATGGTCTTACAATTCTATGTGGATTTTACAGAGAGCCAAATTCCGAAGTCGGAGCCTTCCTGCTGAGAATTCTGATGGTCCAAACCTTTCTACATATTTTCACAAAGCTAATTTTTTATTGTACGTTCCCAGGCTAACTGAACCCTGAACACTGAAAATTCCACACACACGAAAACATCAAACGCAACAGAAAGTCGTTATTTTTCCTTTTTGATGGATTTCTGTTTGTGGAATTTTCATTTTTTTTTTTCAATCAATGGGTTGTTACGGCCGATGCAAGGGGTGGTTAACTGCTTAAAATATGTACACAGATTTTAAATCTTCATTGATTTTGTAGGATTTTGAGGATTTTGAAAATCTTCATAGGACTTAACAGGATTTTTAAAGATTTTAGGTGATTTTGGAAGTTACGAGGGTTTTTAGAGATCCTAAAAGATTTTTAGGGATTTTAACGGATTTTTGGGAATTCCAAAGGATTTTTGGAAATGTTAAAGGAATTTTATAGGATTTTTTTTTTTCCAAGAAAATTTTGTTAGATTTTTAAAGATTTTCAGGGATTTTGAGTAGAAGATCTTACGAGTTTTTCTTGGATTTTGACCAACTTGTATACAAATTTTCATCAATTAACCGCTCGAAGTTTAGTTAACTCCATAAAATGTGTACATAATTGAATCTTTGAGTATCGATTTTGTAGGATTTTGAGGATTTTGAAAAACTTCACGTGATTTTAAAATTTTTTAAATTTATGAGATTTTAGGTGATTTTGGATCATTTTAGGGAATTTAGAAAGGATTTTTATGGGCTTTTTACCAACTAATTTAGGGGAGCCTTAACGAAAAATACCTATTTCATGGGAATTCTGCGAAAATTTTTGTTAATTCCATAGAAATTCCTCAGAATTTCACTATAAGATTTTATGGAAATTCTCGAAATTTCATTCAAATGACAAATTTGAATAGAAAAACAGAAAGTCCCAGAAATTTTATTATAAGATTTCATAATACTTGTCCGAATTTCACCATAAGATTCCATGGAATTCCACCATAAAATTCAATGAAATTCTTGTACAAAAATTCTTCGGAGTTACAGTAAAAGTTTTCATGAAATTTCTCGGAATTCCACTAAAATTTTATGTAATTCGACAGAAATGACTCATTTTTCGGAATTCCGTCGAAATTCTTCGTGGTCCCATGGAAATTCCACAGAAATTCTGTTTATTTCCAAGGGAATTTTTCGGATTCGATGTAATTTCACTGGAATTCCACCATAAGATTTCAAGGAATTTCATGTATGTTATTCGACGAGAATTCCTTGGAATTTTACTCGAAATTTTATGTAAGTCGACACAAAATGAAATTGTATATAATTTGATAAAAATTCTGGGAATATTCCATAATTTCTTTTTCGAAATACCACTGAATTTCTCAGAAATTCTATAGAAATTCCAAATTCCATAATTTATTTAAAACTTTACTGAAATTCCCCAAAATTTCACCACTGAAATATCTTGATGAAATTCCACAAAATGTTCCTAAAATTTTTCAGAATTTCACTGACATTTCCAGTAATTTCTTAGAAATTCCTCGGAATTTCACTAAAATTTTATGAGAATTTTTTGAAATTTCACTGAAATTCCACGTTATTAGTCGAAAATTTCTCGAAATTCCAATGAAACTTCAATTTTTTTTTCAACATTTCATTTATTTCCATAAGAATTTTTCGGAATTTCACTGAAATTCTCTTTCAATAGTCAGGAATTTCTGGGAATATTAATGACACTTCAAGTAATTTCTTGAAAATTCACCGAAATATATTGAAATTTCATATCATTACAAATTTCACCGAAATTCCAAGTTTTTAGCCGGGTACTCCTCAGAATTCCACTTGTGAAATTTCCTCTAATTTTACTAAAATTCAGTAAATCGATGGGAATTTTTCGGAATTTCAATTTCACTAAAATGCCATGTTTTAACTGGGAATTCCTTGGAATAAAAATAAAAATTTGTGTTATTACATTTAGGGTTGGGAAATGACCGGTCAAATATCTTTTGTTCAATTGACCTAGTATTTGACCGGTCATTTGTCAAATTGCTCCGGTCAAATACTCCAATAGTGGGGAGCGTGATGCTATGACGGTAGCATTATTGCATCCATTTATTCCTGGTCTAGCCGCCAGGTATTACATAACAAGGACAAATACTCAAAGAAAAAGATAGACAAGTTTTCTAATTGTTTATTTTGAAATATTTACCTGAAACTCCTGAAAGTTACATTTTCAAAATTGGTTTATTCGCCTTCTGATAAACTCTCAGGATAATAACGCAATCTGTAATCCCATTGATCAGCAAGTTATCCGCTGACCAATAAAATTATAGAACGGTACATTTATCAAGCAGCAGATAGTCAGCAGCAAGTTTAGCTGAAGATGAATAAACCAAACCTTGGTGGTTTTGTTTCTCGTTTCACAAAAAAAAGTGTTGATTTTGTCCTTTTTACCAAAGGAAAGAAGTTTTGTTTGTTTCATTTCTAGAGAAAAATTTTGCTTTATTTTTTAAACAATAAACTATTGCTTTTGCAGGTGATTTTTTTTAAATTGGTCAAATATTCTATCATCGGTCAAATTGACCGTCAATTGACCGAGGTGCCATCCCTAATTACATTAGGATTTTTCGGAATTTCACTGGAATTCCTTATGAAACGATAAGAGTTTTTCAAAATTCCACTTAAATTTCATGTAATTCCCTGACAATTCCTTGGAATTCCTAGCAATTGCATCGGAGCTCCATATAATTCAACGAAAATTCCTCGGAAATCATGTAATTTTTTGAAACTTTTTTAAAATTCTTTATTTAATTCAATGAGCACTGAAATTTCGTGTTGGGAATTTCGGTGTAATTCCATGTAATTGTTTAGAATTCCTCCATGCAACTCATTCAGGATTTCATGTGATTCGATCGAAATTCCACTGAAATTTCATGTAATTTCTCTAAATTTCATATTTCATGTAATTCGAGAGGAACTCTGGAAACTCCGCAAAAATTGCACATGTCATATTTCATACCATAAAATTCAATGGGATTCTTCGATTTTTTTTGTCTTTGAAATTACAATATAAGATTTTTGAAGGGTTATTCACTACGAGAAAAATGTGACAAGATTTGGGATTTAAAGCGATTTTGAGGGATTTCGGGTGATTTCGGTAGGATTTCGAAAAGATTTTGAGGGATTATTCACTGTGTCAAGATTTCAGATTTAGAGCGGTTTTGAGGGATTTCGGGTGATTTCGAAGAATTTCGGGTGATTTCGAAGGATTTCGGGTGATTTCTGAGAATTTCAGTTGATTTCGCAAATATTTCAATTCGATTTCAGATTGTTACTTATCTTATAAGGTGTATTAGTATAAACTGAAAAACGGCCACGTTGACCGATTTATGAATTTTGGGCTATAATTGCGAGGGATTTTTGGGTTTACGGAAAGATTTCGGAGGGATTTCGGCGGATTTCGGAGTGATTTCGTGGATTTCGGGGATTTCGGACGAAGTTGTGACACGATTTCGGGGAGTGATTAACCTCTCGAAGATTTCATGAAATTCTTCGGAATTTCACTAAAATTTCAAGTTTTTCCATGGGAATTCCGCGAAAATTTTAAGTAATTTCATAGAAATTCTTTAACATTTTACATTTCACCAGAAGATTTTATGGAATTCTTAGACAATTTTTTTTCGGAATTACAGTATAGGATTTCATGAAATTCCTCGGAATTCCACTAAGATCTCAATTTCAAAGTTCCATAAAAAGTCCATTTTTTTTTTAAAACTATACTGAAATTCCCCAAAATTTTATCACTGAAATATCCTGGAATTCCACAAAATTTTCATAAAATTCTTCGGAATTTCATTGACATTTCATGTAATTTCTTGAAAATTCCTCGGAATTCACTATTGAGAATATTTTGAAATTCCACGTTCATAGCCGAAAATTTATCGAAAGTCTAATGAAACTTCAAGGAATTTTTCAAAATTTAATTTATTTTCATAAGAATTTTTCGGAATTTCAGTGAAATTCTCTTTTAGTAGCCAGGAATTTCTGGGAATATTAATGAAACTTCAAGTAATTTCTTAAAAATTCACCGAAATATATTGAAATTTCATATCATTACATGGGAATTTTCTGGAATATCAGCGAAATTCTATGTTTTTAGCCGGAAAGTCCTCGGCATTCCACTTGTGGAATTTTCTGGAATTTTACTAAAATTCATTAAAAACTGCAATTTCATGTTGGGAATTTCGGTGTAATTTCATATAATTGTTTAGAATTCCTCCATGTAATGCATGGAGGATTTCGTGTAATTCGATCGGAATTTCACTAAAATTTCATGTAATTCGAGAGGAATTAAAATTTAATGGGAATTCTATGGAAACTCCGCAAAAATTTCACATGTTATTCCTTTTTCAGAATAACATAATTATTCTACCGAAATTCCTCGAAATTCCACTAAATTATGGAATTCTGAGAGATTTGCAGATTTTTGGGGATTCCAAAGGATATTTGGGAATTTCAAAGGAAATATTTTTTAGGAATGTTGATGAATTTATGAGATTTTGCAGGATTTTTCTGGTTTTAATGAAATTTTGTTAGATTTTGTAGGATTTCATGCAATTTCAAGAGATTTTGTGGGGTTTTATTAAATTTTTAAGGATTTCAAAGATTTTTAGTGATCTTGAGTAGATCTTATGAGATTTTCTGGGATTTCGACTAACTTGTACACGGATTTTGACTAGTTAACCACCCCTCGGGCCGATGTATTGATTATTACAGTTTCTGCAGTGTTTGATTGTACCTTGGCGATTTTTAAAAATACTTTCCCTCCACCCTTGTCGCGCATGTACCTTAGCTGACTAGTTTAGCCAGTAGTGCGTAGAGAATATGTGTTTAGGCAAGGGCAGAATACTCACACGCCACCATCACCTCTGTCCTCTCGTCACAGCAGTCAGGAGAGCTTACACAAGAACGCCTACGGAGGCGCCACAGGCCTCAGCAGGGGAGACGTGTCGTCAGCAGCAGCCGCAGCGGCCGCCCAGAAAAAGAAGGGCCTCAAAAGCAGCTTGGGACGGTTCTTTAGCAAAAAGGAGAAGGTGAGCATAATCTGATTTCTATGAAAGTGAACTCAATTCTAATATTATTCCCTTAAAAACAAACTTTGCTGAAATTTTGAGTTAAAAGGCAAAAACTTACCAACTTTTGTCTTCTCAGAGTCAATTTTTCGCCAGCAGTAGTGTTGGTTAAATAATTTCTTCAACATTGGTTTCAGGTACAAAATGAAATTTAATGAATAATTCATGCGTTTTGCAACATAGCCTTTAATCTACATACCACCTTTTCATGTTCCTCAAATAAAGTTAATCTACAGTTTCCCTTGAAACCTTTGCACTTCTGTATTGTGAAGAAGTGGCCTTTGATTTTTTCCTCATTATTTAATTTTTTTGTAAGTGGAATTATTCATCTTGGTAATATGGTCAGTTTTCTCAATGATGACTGAAGACATAGACTACTTACTTCTTTTCTTGTGAACCAAAAAGTTATCGTTGTCATGTAGGTCAAAGGAAAGGACGTCTCCGATAGTAACCTGAGCCTCAGCCAAAGCAGCATCACACTTCCAGACGGAGAGCTCAGCGATTCAATGAGCATATCCGGCAAATTGGGACAAAAATCGGAGTTTGATAGACGTCAAAAGAAAAAGTAAGACTCATTTCTCAACTTGCATACAAAAAAGTAATTCTTTCAAAGTCCTAGGGAACGAGATTACCGTCATGAACTTCTTGCTGAAGCGATGAAAGCTGGAACGCCGTTCGCCTTGTGGAACGGACCGACAATCGTAGCATGGCTGGAATTGTGGGTGGGAATGCCAGCGTGGTATGTAGCAGCCTGCAGAGCCAACGTTAAATCGGGTGCTATTATGAGCGCCTTGAGTGATACAGAAATCCAAAGAGAAATAGGTACTTGACATTCAAATTTTAAAGGTTACGTATTAATTATATTTCTTTAGGTATAAGTAATCCATTGCATAGACTTAAACTACGCTTAGCTATTCAAGAAATGGTATCGCTGACTTCCCCGAGTGCACCAAAAACGTCAAGAACGACGTTAGCATTTGGAGATATGAATCACGAATGGGTGGGAAATTCTTGGTTACCATCGTTGGGGTTACCTCAATATAGAACTACATTTATGGAATGTCTTGTGGATGCTAGGATGCTGGATCATCTCACGAAAAAAGATTTGAGGGGGCAGCTTAAAATGGTTGATAGTTTTCATAGGCAAGTATATATTATATAAATAAGTGACATATGGTTTTCATGATATAAGAATCTTTGTGGAAGTTGTCAGCCCAAGGAAAAACTTTTTTAAAATGCTCTACCCTTTTTTTGAGATGGCTAAAATAGAAACAAATATTTATATTAATAAATCTTTTTGTCATTTGCAGGACAAGTTTACAATATGGCATATCATGTTTGAAACGGTTAAATTATGACCGTAATTTACTAGAAGAAAGAAGAAAAAACTGTGAAAATACTAATACTGACGTGTTAGTATGGAGTAATGATCGTTTGATTAGATGGGTGTCAACAATAGGGTTAAAGGTACACTCTTAAACGTTTTTTTTTTTTTTTTTTTTTTTTTTTTAAATTTGAATAATGAATTATTTTAGGAATACGGTAATAATTTATTGGAATCGGGTGTTCATGGTGCTTTAATGGCTTTGGATGAGAGCTTTGATGCTAACAGCATGGCTCTTGCTTTACAAATTCCAACACAGAATACCCAAGTAAGTACCAATCTAATTATCCCACAGTTTAAACTTGAATGTCTAGTAGGACAGTTGAAAATTTAAATTTTAGAAAAAATATATGTTTCAAGCTTTGGGGGGGGGGAGCGATTAAAGGTACCTAAAGTTAGGTACTTTGACTCCAATTATATTGTCACGCTAAGGTTGTTTATGGTCAGCGGTGCCACAAATTTATCTACACTTGGCTGCGTCGGCTAAGGGTTTATCCTGAAAAGAGATTATGGGGGGAACGGAAAGATTTCACCACTACTAGTTAATACATCCATTTACACCTTAATTTATGTAGGAGATGATTGAATAGGGTTTACCAAAAATAGATCGCAGTAAATTTTCTTCCCTGGTGGGCCATCATTTAACATTCCCTTGGAATGCCTATTTTTAGGAAAAGCCCTACGCTGTTAATAGTACCCAAACAGCCTTATGAAAATGTACCCTCGAGGAGCTTAGTTTCCATAGGTCTAGGTTTGGGGCGTTGAGCAGGGCTTCTACAGCATGACATTCACCTTAAGATCTCAAGTTTTGCTATACTTACATTTTGTAGAAAGTTGATTTATCACAAATATTCTCCTTTATACAAGCTTTATAATCAGAAATACATACAATAATGTTACCTATTGACCAAGCACAGAAAATAGAAAAAACTCCAAACAAAACTAGAGCTGGATATCCAAAAAAAAAAATCTTATTTAAAATGTAACTACAACAAACCACAAATTTTTATAGATGAAATAATAAATCAAATATATAGATTCAAAGAATTGGGAATTCAAATAGTTATTTAGTATGAAACACTTCATGTCAAGTTCACGATTATTGGATTTTACTAACCCTCTCTTGTGATGATTCACCACTTTCAAAGATATTTATGACTTTTTTAATGCAATTCAAACTTCTTATATATTTCCATCCATAAAACTACTAACTGAGATATATACTCTCTCTTGAGGATAAGTGTACATGTATATTTTCCTTTATTTATTCTTCGACATAGTCAAAAGAATCCTTATGTGTGTAAAACCTCTTACTACCAACTGAACTTTATATTTATGTTTTATCTGTTCTTTCAATATTGAAACATACCCATATTGTATAGATATTGCATCAAAAGCCAGAGCCAGGTACATTTCAAATTCGTTGTATCTGGTTAATTTTTTTTTTTCTTTCTTTTCTTGTTCCATTTCTTGTATATCATCTTATTCTATGTTATATGTTCACTTTTTTCTCCGTAAATTATTTTTACTCTCACTCTATTACTTTCTGTTCTTTAGTATGCCATAATCTATATTTTCATTAGCTTCGTTCGCGGTAAGGGTTCAGAAACAATTCTGAACGCTTAGGGAGCAATCACAATATAGTATAATAGACCTAGGCGGTAAAGTGACATTTTCCCAGGCTGAAAGAAGAAATGTACCGGCGAGCCTCAGCGAGCCTGGACACTTCTTGAAGCCTGGAAAAATCACTTTACCGGCATGGTTTACACTTTATTTTTCTTCCGACGCCCCATAATTGTAGCTAATAGCATGTTTTTTTTTTCGTATCCCTTGACTTTTTATTCGATTTGATTTCAGTTCAAGTTCAGTTCAAACTTTTAAACACCCTCGTTTTGTGACAAATATGCCTGTCACACTTGTCTGTCAAATTTTTGCAGAAATCTATATAAGATGGTAATTTTAAGTAAGTAATTTAGCTCATGAATAACTTCTGCTACTAGAATTTAATTAGGTAGATAATAATTAAAACGAACACAACTTTTTTTTTAAAAATTATATTGTGGCGCCCTCTATTATAAAAAGTGAAAAATAATTTTATTGCATAGCCATTTTCGAATGTTTTCCAGGGCTAGCCTCAGAAACGCCTACTTTCTCATCCCTATAGAGGCAGTAAAATTCAATTTTCTCATAGTGTTGGAAGAAAAATGATTTTTTTTTCTTAGACTGTCACTTATTGCCAATTTCTATTGTGATTGGCGCTTTAGCGTTCCGAACTGGTTCTGAACCCTTACCTCGAACGAAGCTATTATTATATTTCCTAGCACCAAACTCACCTGTGATTTCGAGAGCTTATATTCTATTCACAATCCGATGTCCACAGGTACAGGTAAATTTATCACCTTTCCCTATCAAATACCATTGAAAGGTGATAAATTTCACCTGTACCTGTGGACATCGGATTGTGAACGTATAGAGGTTCTAAATTTTCGAAAACGACAGTCTGATTTAGATCCGAATATTTTCGAATTATAATGTTTGCTCTGACAATAAATGTACCATTATTCTTGCAAAAAGGTTTCATTTCATTACTAATAAATTTTTGGATAGTCTGAAACTTAGCTTGGTCCATTCTCACATACTTTCTAAAACAGTCAGCCTTTTAGCATGAACTAATTTTGAGAAATCATCAGTGGAAGTTGTGAAAAACCTATCGTCATCCTAAATTAGCCCCGCAACATCTATGTGCACAAATGACATAAAGGACCCACTTCTAATGGGATTTCTGACCGCGGTCAAATTCAACCAAATTTTAATAGGTTATAGATCTCACGTTTCTAATCAATAGCTACCATGGACACAACTTAATCCTATGACTAGTTTTTGAGATACAGGATGTTCAATGTGTGAATGTCCGATATGCATTATGGGACATCCTATTCAATCAGTCAAATTATATTTATGTGAGAATTCGGTCAAGTGTCATTGGTCAAGTCACAGAAAGCGAGTAAAATACAAATAGTTATTTGTGCTCGAACCATAGGTTCATGTACAGGGGGTCCCATTGGTTGTACATAAGGAATTACTCGGTTGTTATTGGAGTTGGAAGGATGCGGTTTTCGCAAACTTTGGCTACTTTTTTGTCAAACGAAAGATGGCGCCAACATAATGGCATGTAATATTGAAATTTAAGTTGTAGAGGGCGCTTCTGTACTTGAAGCTTTTCAAATATTGGCGCGTAAATAACCGAGTATAATTTTACCCACGGATGAGAGTGGGTATATGGTCACGGGATCAGAAGAGTAAATTTTATCTGGTGTATTTTCGAATGCACTGGTGTATAATAATTATAACCTAACATATTATAAACATAAGATTTAGGCCCAGTATTCTGTGCATTTCATTTATCTGTACTATGTGTTCCACGAGGGTTTGTACTTTTGCCTTCCTTTTTTAACAAATAAAAATTGACTATTGAATTTATATAATCTATGACAAACCTTTTTTTCCACGTTATGACATTATCGATGTCATAAGTATAAATCTTTGTGAAATGAATCTTACCGCTATCAACAACAATTTTCGAAAAACGGAATAAATAAATCTGAAAGTAGTGGATTTAATAGGCAATTTTTCGTGAGGATAATTAAGCAAAATCTGATTATACTGGCTTATGTGATGTGTTAATTTATTGATTGCATACTCCCCTAACTCCCTCTCCATCAAATTCTGGGCCTGCGAATGACGTCACCATCAGCAGCTTGTGCGATGACGTCACCCCCAGACCTCGATGGAATGCTTGAGATTCAGGCTGTGTTAGTGCAGTGCAGTGCAGTGATTTTCGGTCTATTCTCGCAGAAGAAATTGAGTGATCTTGATCCGCGAGTATCTCAGAATTTGATGGTAGGGGAGTTAGGGGAGTATGACACAATTGACACATCACATAATCCATCATCAAGCATTGGATTATTAGGCTGTCCATTTGTACTTGCTCTACCTGCTAGAAAAATCAGAAAGATCAGCTAGGAGCTGCTATTTATGAGCTTATATATGGGACAAGTGAACACCGATCTGCTACTGAAATCTGCTCAAAGCAAGAAAAGCAGAACCCTGATTCCGAACTCACGATTCGATAGTATCGTCTATTTTATAGGTCTGTTCCTGCAGAAATCACAAACCAGTAAGAGCGAATTTCATTGGCTAAAAACAGTCAGAAAACTAGTTTAAACCAATGAGATTCACTCTGACTGGTTTGTGATTTCTGTAGAAACAGTCCTTACTGTCACCTTCCTTACATGGACGATACTATCGAATCGTGGGTTCAGAATCCGGATTCAGTACAAATGAGCACCCTATTTGCTTGAATATCCTTGCGAAAAATTGCCTAATAATGAAAAAACTGACAAGAATGACAGGAGTGAAATTTACCTAGCGGCTAAGTTGGTTAAGAAAGAGTGTACACTGGGTAGCACCCTGAATTAGGCAATCTAGATCACGTGATTTATTATGGCCGTTCATCAAATTGTGGTGACGTTCATAAAAAAAAAAACATTTGTGTTCTGGCCCTTATTGTTGTAGATGCCAAACATGACAATGCTTATGTCAAACCCACAGATTAACCTTAATTAATCTGTGGGGTTAATCTGTGGTCAAACCTAAATGTCCACAATGTTAGAAAATTAGTAATTTTTCATTGATTTTTATCAGTAACCTAAATGTGAACAACATGGTGTTTGACCTGAACTTCCATATTGAATTTCGTTTGACAGGTCATGAGATTGCCTAATATTTTCAAACTAGCGTGAAAGTCAACCGGAGTTTATACCAATTCATTTTCGAACGGCTGGTGTGCACTCGATTTGAAGCCCAGACTGATTTCGACCGCACTCCACAAAAATTTAATTTGACGTGCGGCTTCTGGACTGGATTCCGAACTCACTACTGTCTGTAGGCTTCCATACGTCCGGATTTACCCGGACATGTTTGGGTTTTCAGAGTGTTCAGGGAAGTCCGGCCGGAATTCGGAACAATGTCCGGAAAACACGGAGATCGTGAAAACACTCATACTCCAGTTTACGCACTATCCAAAAGACGTAAAATTTTACTTCACGCATTAGTACGTAAAGTAAGTCACTTTACACACTAGGGTCACTAGGCAATTTTTCGTGAAGATAACCAAGCATATTCGAGTATGGTAGATTATGTGACATGTCAATTGTGTCAAACTTCCCTAACACACCCATCATCAAATTCAGGGATACTCGAGGATCAAGAACACTTTACTTCTTCTATGAGAACAGACTAAAAATCACCTTTTCTACTTTTAGAATTGACAAAAAAATTAACTCACTAGCACAGCCTGAATCGTAAGCATTCCATCCTGGTCTGCGGGTGACGTCATCACTATAAGCTGCTGGTAGTGACGTCACTCGCAGGCCCAGAATTGAATGTAGAGGGAGGTAGGGGAATATGACACAGTTGACAACACATCACATAACCCAGCATAATCAATGTATGCTTGATTATCCGCGCGCAAAATAGCCTACTAGTGCGTGAAGTAATGTCACTGATAGATGTCGACACTGTAATTTTTTTCTAGTAAATTACTTTACGCACTTGTGCGTGAAGTATTTGTCTAAATTTATTTTTTTACACATATTTTATTGGTAGTAGAAAATTGTTTGTATATTATGCGATGCGTGTGTAAAGTAAACCTTTTTTCACAAATGTGAATTTTGTCGCACTCGCCTTTCACACTCTCGATAGCTATTTCGGCGAAGTCTGGATTTTGTCCAGATTTCTTGACTCCTTTGTCCTGAATTCCGAAAAACCTTTATGGAAACCCTAACTGTCTGTATAAATATAAGATAGATAGACGATACTATCGAATCGTGGGTTCGGAATCCGGGCCCTGGAAAGTAAGAACCCCACGTCAAACTAAACTTTTGAGGTTATTTACGCGCCACAATTTGAAATGCTCCAAGTACAGAAGCGCCCTCTACTCAATAATACATGCCATTGTCATCGCCCTTTTGGTGTTGAAAGTGATCGAAAAGGTGAGAACAGATTCTACATATTTTTACGAAAATACCAGTGGCGTAGTCAGTTTTTCTCTAGTTTTTGATTAATGAACAAAACAGTGTTTTTAAATTGGATACCCATTATAAAATCATCGGCTAGATCTGCTCTTGTTGATATTAATGTTACAAAATTCGACAGGTTTATTTTCAACAGTTTTCGAGCAAAAAACATTTTAAACTATTTTTGTCATAAGAAACAATGTGTTAGAAACAGACCTTTCTCATTTTCCTTACAGATGCAAAGTTCTTTTCTGATACATTGTTTCTTATGATAAAAACAGACATGATAGAGATCAGCAAAAACAGAGCTATCCAAGGAGCTATTAATATACAGGGTGTCTCATTTGGAAAAATGTATGTTGGGTTCATAATTTAAAAACTATTATTTCTAGTAAAAATATCTATAAGAATCCGTTGTCACCTTTTCGATCGCTAATGAGTGAGCCCGAGGCACAAGGGGTGTCCCAAAATGCAACTTTTTCAAAAACACCTTGCATCTGAAAAAACGAAAAGAGTGATGACAATTCTGGGTGCGTTTGGGTTGACGCTCGGTGCACTCAGAGCTTGCACTTTTGTCTCTCTTCCGTTATTTTTGAAGCTCCGACAACGCTTGATTGTGTTTGGTTTGACATATTTTGAGCGCTCGGAGCGAGCTCGATAAACTCCGAGTTTTTGGGGTGGGCAGCTGGAGCGTGCATGCGCAGTTTAATCTGTCTGTATAACTTAACCTATTTTCCATGATAAGATAAATAAACAATCCCGAATTTTAACATATACTTGTTAGGTGGATAGTTTAGTTTTAGCTATTTTGTTTAAATGTTAACAATCAAATAGCTAGTAAATTCTGTATAATTGTTTACTTTTAATAAAATTTTCTCGATAGTCCTCATCACTGGTATTATTGAACATATTTTTCCAAGGGAACTTGGCAGCCTCAGTGTTTAGGTCCGTTTTATTGTTTATGTAGCACGACGTTTTTTGCAGAATACAAAAGAAAATGGGGCTGTTTGAAAATTATCAACTAAAATTCAAAACAAACGAGAAAACTCTGGTGCAAATGAGGAATGCGGGCGCGGACTCCAAAAAATATATGCTAAGAAAATTAAACAAATAACCAGCTGATCGCTCAACCCAGCATTTTTGCACAAGTTTATTTGGCTTGACACGGTGTACTCCCTGTGACGTCACGTTACTCCGTAATCGCTCTGCTCGCTCCGCCGAGCCTCAACCCAAACACGCCCTCTGTTGGCGCCATCTTTCGTTTGACAAAGAAGAATCCAATGTTCACGAAAACCGCATCCTTCCAACTCCAATAGCAACCGAGTAATTCCTTATGTACAACCAAAATAGAACACCCTGTACAGGGTGGGCCAATTTGTCAATTTGGACACTTTTAATAGGAAACATCAATTTCTAAACGAGATACAAAAAAATTAACCCCCCCACTCTGAGACTCAAATTTCATGTTTTGATTGGTGCAAATCGCATTTTGATATCTTCAACCGTTTAGTCGCTAGAGGGCGATTCTCGATTTTGAGCTATAATGTGGAACCATCATAACTTTTTTGTTATTGATTTCCGTAAAAACTTTCTAGAAGCACTTTTTCAAGCAGAATTCAGTGACGTTCTCAGTTTTTTTCTAGTTGGTCTCAACTCCGAGATATTGACCAAAGTCTAGTTTTTTTCAATAGGACAACCTATATATTGTCAGGAAGCCTCTGTTGCTCCGCTACGTAGCTCGACTATTCACCCTGAAAATCAGAACGGGAATGGAAAGGGAACACCAGAATAACGCTAGATAACTATAATATGTTTAATATTCTAGAGAAGGGATTACATTAAGAGTAAAACACACAATTATTACCATATCGTTCTCATCCCGAGCCAGCACGTCCCGTGGTTCAGTGTATTGAATTTAGTTGTAGTCCGTGGTCTCATGTAGGGTTGACAATATTAATAGCTCATTAGAAAGCTGCATAAAGTTCGATAGGTTTATCTCTAACAGTTTTCGAGGAAAAAAGTATTTCGGTTTTTGTCATAAGAAGTAATGTGTAAGAAAAGGGCTTTATATCTATAAGGAAACTGAGAAAAGTCTCTTTCCAACACATCGTTTGACATAAACCCATCGAAGTTAATATCATTGAAATCAGAAAAAGCAGAGCTTTCTAATGAGGTATTATAATATAGGGTGTCTTATTCAAAAAAACCAGACTTTGGTCAATATCTCGAACTTGGGACCAACTAGAAAAAAACTGAGAACGTCATTCAATTTTGCTTAGAAAGGTACTTCCAGAAAGTTATGAAGGTTTCAGATTGTTGCTTAAAATCGAGATGCGCCCTCTATTGGCTAAACGGTTGAAGATATCAAAATGCGGTTTGCACCAATCAAAATTTCATGAAATTTGAGCCTCAGAGTGGGGGGTTCATTTTTTTGTATCACACTCAGAAAATGATGTTTCCTATTAAAAAGTGTCCAAATTGGCCCACCCTGTACATGAACCTTCGGTTCGAGCACAAATAACTATTGGTATTTTACTTGATTTCTGTGCCTTGACCGAATTCTCACACGAATATGATTTGGCTGATTGAATAGGATGTCATAATGCATATCGGACATTCGCACATTGAACACCCCGTATCTCAAAAACTAGTCATAGGATTGAGTTGTGCCCATGATAGTTGATCAGAAAAGTCAGATTTATAACACTAAAATTTGGTTGAATTTGACCGCGGTCAGAAATCCCATAAGAAGTGTGCGGGGTGTATTGCCATAATTTTGAATCGTCCTTTTCAATTTCAATATTTAAAGATTCAACACTAATATCCTTGAGAAGTTTTTGATTTACATCATAAATGTTTTCATGAGAAATTCTAATGGTATTTTCAATTTTAGGGTAGACAAACATTAGAAGTAGAATATATCAATTTAGTGAGGTCGGCTACCGACCGGAGGCCGGAAGAGATGCGCTCCTGATATGGATGGACGTTAGGTGTACCGAATTAAGCGAGATACAGTATTCAGCAGAAGTAGAAACTGAAAGAAAAAGACACCCTTTTTTGACCATGTAGTGTTCCGCTGCTGTCCAGATTGTTCGCGCCTGTGAAGCAGCCTTGTGTGTGCTACCTCCCTAATTGTTGATAATAATTGAATTTGTTAGAAGCTGAGGGCGCCCTGAAATAGTACGGCGCTCGTTTTCTAATGATTTCGCGAGAAGTAATTGCACTATTTTGGGATTTTTTACGCAGAATTTTTTGCTAAATATCATGAAACATTTTAGCCCATCATAATATGGAATATTACAAAAGTATACTTAATTAATTTGTCAAAAAAAAAAATCTTGCCAGAATGAATGCGTAAAAATTTCCAAGCATTGGGAATATTGTATGACTTATGAGCTTTAACCCGAGAACAAGTACTTGTGAGGTAAGAACCTTTAGTATTATAATATATTTAATTGTAAATTTAAAAGGTGTTCTTAAATGAAAGGAGAAGTCAGTTTATAGGCAAGTGTTGATTCAATCATAACTCAATGATGTTCAAACAATAAAATCACATTCAACTTTTTTTCAAATTCAATTTATATTTTTATAGACAAAGGAATTTAACAGTAAAGTAAACATAACAATAAGCTGTCTCCAATCATAATTCCGTCTCACATTGACAGACAAAATCAGACTCCTGGATCTTAAAAAATGACTTTTCCTCAACTTTACGGTATTACCTAACGGGTCATTTTATTTAAAAATTATAAATCACGTTTACGTTTTAGCTCTTGTAGCATGTTTGATGAATTGTTAAAAGTATTATTTTTTTTCGTTGAACCTCATTGCATTTAAGTGTGGAAAGTGGCTGGCAAAACGTTTTTTTTTTTCTTGAATACTTTCTTGTATGTATACTTTTTACAAACTAAAACCAAAATAATTAGTTACGGTGTATATTTAAGTAAACAAAAAGTGTATAAAATTTTAATGTACTAATTATGATTACTATTTATTGTAATATTTTTTTCAAAATACTTATTTCTAAATAGGTTATTAGATAATAAAAATGTATTAGTTTTTTTTTTTTGGAGGATTTCTAGAAATCTAAATATCATTAGTTAGTCATGAATCAAATTTATTAAACATTACAAAAATGAAACACACAATTTTTTTTTTTTTTTTTTCGATTTAGTTAGAGAATTATTATTATAAATTGGATAGTTGGATGCAATATGTCACAATAGAAACAAAAATAAAATATTATATATTTTTTTGTTTTTAAGTTCTATACAAACTTGTGTGGTATTTTTTTTGTTATGTAGTTTATGTGTTAATCTTCATACATATAAGGTTTGGCAGAGCTCTTAGTTTTTATTTTAAATTTATTGAACCATAAATCAGCATTCCATTGGTAATTTGCCATAGGTAATTATTATTGAATTCTACCAGGCACAATTTTACAAAATTGCTGGAAAGTATATAAAAATTTGCATTCATTTTTCCTATAATACATGTCAAATATTTGTAAACTCTCACAGAAATATTATGGATGCTGATGCGTAGAATGGAAATGTTTTCTTATTTTTAATTCAGTCGACAAAGAACTTTTACTTGATATACAGGGTGTCCTACTAAGGTCGGCAAGGGACGATATTATAGAAACCATAGACTTTACGACTTCGGGATTTTTTTTTTCTTCACCAAATCGGCCAAGAAAAATTGATGAAAATTATTTTCAAGTTTCTAAGGTGACCGCTAGGGGGCGCTTTTACCATGATATTCAACAGCAAGCCGCAATTCAATATCTGCATTCATTTTCAATGTTCATAGGAATTTTCTAATATTTCATGAGAATTTTGTGTAATTTTTTAAGATTTTTTCAGAATTCCACTGAAATTCTTATTATAGAATGTTCCAGTAATGTTCATAGAATGCACACCAGAATTCCCCAAAAACTCTGCGAAATTCCACTAAAAATTCAATTAGTTTCAAAGAAATTTTCTGTATTTTCACAGGAATTTTTGGAATTCTATGTATAACTTTTTGATAGTTCATAAGTATTTCAGGTCATTTTACGTAAATTTTTTTGGAATTCCACTGAAATTCTGAGTTATTTCACGCAAATTTTCTGGGCTTTTACTTTTTTTTTTTAAATTTCACTAATATTCCGATTTATTCCACAGGAATATTGATAAATTATCAAGTAATTTTCCAAGAACTTTTCGGATTTACACGAGAATTTCATATTATTTCAGAATTTCACTCAAATTTTGAGTTATTCCTCAGGAATTCCATGTTCACAAGAATTTTATGGAATTTACGGAAATTTTTTCAATTTTTTTTTTTTTTTCAATTTCATGAGAATTCTAAGTGATACCATAGAAATTCTTCAAAATTCGACTGAAACTACAAGGAACTTTGAGGAATTTTTTTTTTAAAATTTTACAAGGACTCCATGTAATTCTACAGGATTCTTTTTTGAAATTTAAGGAGAATTCCACGTAATTTAACATAAATATTTTTGAAATATTTTGAATGTAAACGCGCCTTCACGGTTGGCAGGTGTGTTATAGCCACGGTACCATAGCTGAGTTCCGCTTGCACACTTCGTGCACTCCGAGTAACTCCGTTCGCACTCCAGCCGTTGTCTGATTCGTTAAAAGGCAATACCCGAACGGCTGGAGTGCGAACGGAGTCACTCGGAGTGCACGGAGTGTGCAAGCCGAACCCAGCTTATATTGAATTGAGAGAACGTCGAATCGCCCTGTTGCCAACTTTGTAAAAAAATTCAAATGGCAAAAAAAGTGTTGCCAACATGGTTACAATTAAACATGGAAAAGAAAGTAAAACGCCAAAAAAAAAGGGCAACAGAAAATTTTGTATGGACTGTCAAATTTTGAGAATTCAATTTTTTTGACGTTTGTTGTGTCATGAGCAGTGTTGCCATATGTTTTTTGCAAGAGCCGGATTTATACGAGCCTGTTCCTTGTCAACTGATTTTAATACTCCGGCCCTTCGGGCCGTAACCTTTGAAACAAAGAGACGCCATTTGGTATTGACTGTCAATGAAGATAAGGCCTACTTTGAAACGTCAATTTTTTGACGTTTGTGTTATAAGCAGTGTTGCCATATTTTTTTTTCCAAATCTCGATTCTAGAAGCCTGAGGTTATCTTAATTACGAGCTTGAAGGGCCGAGGTTATACGAGCCCGAAGGGCCAGAGTTATACGAACCCGTTTATTGTTAACCAATTTTAATACTCCGGCCCTTCGGGCTCGTAATCTTTGAAAGAAAAAGACGCCATTTTGTTTTGACTGTCAAAGAAAACATGGCCTACTTTAAAACGTCAATTTTTTGACGTTTGTTGTGTTATAAGCAGTGTTGTCATATGTTTTTTTTTTCGAATCTCGATTCTGGAAGACCGAGGCTATTTCAATTATGAGACCGAAGGGCCGAGGTTATACGAGCCCGAAGGGCCGGAGTTATACGGGCCCGTTCATTATCAACCGATTTTAATACTCCGGCCCTTCGTGCTCGTAATCTTTGAAAGAAAAAGACGCCATGTTGTATTGACTGTCAAAGAAAACAAGGCCTACTTTAAAACGTCAATTTTTTGACGTTTGTTGTGTTATAAGCAGTGTTGCCAATTTTTTTTTTAAATCTCGATTCTGGAAGGCTGAGGTTATTTCAATTATGAGCCCGAAGGGCCGAGGTTATACGAGCCCGAAGGGCCGGAGTTATACGAGCCTGTTCATTATCAACCGATTTTAATACTCGGGCCCTACGGGCTCGTAATCTTTAAAACAAAAAGACACCATTTTGTATCGACTGTTAAAAAAAACAAGATCTACTTAAAAACGTCAATTTTTTGACGTTTGTTGTGTTATAAGCAGTGTTGTCATATGTTTTTTTTTTTCAAATCTCGATTCTGGAAGGCCAAGGTTATACGAACCCGAAGGGCCAGAGTTATACGAGCCCATTCATTGTCAACTGATTTCATTACTCCGGCCCTTCGGGCTAGAATTTCACGAGAATAACTTAAAATTCCGGAGGCATTGAGTTGAATACTCGGAAAATTTTGTTGTAATCAGTATCACATAATTTTACCGGAATTCCACGTAATTCCACTATAATTCTAAATAATTTCACAAGAATTTTTTAAAGTTGTTTTGCAAAATTTAATATAATTTTTACGGGAATTTTTGGAATTTTACGAGAATAACTTGAAATTCCGGGAGAATTACGTGGAATTTCCGAAAAATAGATGGAATTTCACTGAAATTTTTTCGAATTTCCACTTATTTTACCGGAATTTCACTGAACGGCCAAATAATTTCACAAGAATTATTTAAAATTTCACGAGAATTTCATGTAATTTTTATAGGAATCTTTTAGAATTCCAGGAAAATTAATGGAATTTTATCGGACGTAATTCCACTGAAATCCCAAATAATTTCACAAGATTTTTGATATTTGAGTAAGTTGTCAGTAGCTTATTACTTATTAGTTATTTCAAATTTCAATAATTATTATTAATTGATTGAAATTTGAAGAATAAAATAAAATTCAGCGCAACCGTAACGACGGTGTCAAGGTCTCTGAAATGTACTGGAAAAATTATTTTTTTTTTTAGTAAATTAAAAAAAAAAAAAAGTTACACCAGAACTCCTCGTAATTCCATAAAATTATCTAAAATTCTACTAAAAATCCTCGGAAATTCACAGGAATTTTAAATAATATCGTATTTTTTTTTGGAATTTCACGAGAATAAATTAAAATTTCACTCCAGGAAAATTAATGGAATTTCATAATTTTACCGTAATTCCACAGAAATTCCACATAATTTTGTTTAGAGTTCTATGTCGAATTCCTGGGATTTTATTAAATTTTACTGGAATTTTATTTAATTGCACACAATTTTTATGAAATTCCGCATAATTTCTACGTAATTCCGCGTAATTTCAGTAGAAGTTTGCATAGTTTTTATAGAATA